TTTTGATAATAGACTCATGATAATCGGCTTCGGTCTATATCATACTACGCTATAAGCAATGTTGATAACAATCTTTGGTATGATACAAGTAGTGATAATAAATCGGGAAAGGTCGAAAAATATATACACATATATCTACTTCTATTCATATACTGAGTAATAATAATGACATTCTAAAGTCGTGCGCTCAGTAGCAGAGGGACGCTACTATAATATATGTAACGTTTTAAAAAAATTTTTTTTTTATTTTTTAATCTTCGATTTATTATCACTATTTGAGTCACAACAAAGATTATTATCAACATTGCAGTCGAATAATGTCAAAATTCAGAAAAGGTTCTATTCTGCATAATTATCGAAACAATAATAAACATTTTATTAGAATCGTATAATGTGAATACACAATAACTCAGGAATAATTATATATTAATCTATATTAATCATCTATGTTAATAGACCAGTCTATATTAATAGAATAGACAGTCTATATTAATCGAAGCTGGATCTTGAATGCTTTTAATAATATGAATTTATATAAAAATAAATATAAATGTGAAGGCTATAGGTGTCAATGGTAGTTGTAAACATGCGTATAATTATTTTAATAATAAATTATTACAAAAAATTGGAACATTTTAACTCAACTTTGAATCATTTTCAGCCTATATTTCTTAAACACAACGTCGCTAATTTGAAATATTGCATCGCAAATCAATATCTCCAAATTTCCTGAATGTAATCGTTATGGAGCAAACGCGAGACAAGGAACCGTATTCCAACATTAGTAAATGTTGTCCAACAACAGTTTCAAAAGTAAGTGGTTATAAGAACTCAAGCTCACAAAAAACGACCACAACTAGTTAATAATTATGGTAAATGAAGTCAAAAATTTTCTTTTTCGTCATATATTAAAATTTAAGAGAATGAACATTCCGCAATAACCAAAACATGTCTTGTCGATTTAACAAACAATCAAATAATAAGAGATCATTACAAACAATTTCGCCAATTGCACATTTCTTTTCCTCAATAACAGATGCATTGCAGAATGAACATTCTATAGTTACTCTATAGCTATTTCTCTATTTCTTTTTGTTTTTATTCTTCTCTCTAACTTGGAAACTATGGATTTTTCTCTGGATCATGTCTCAATTCCCATGATGCTTCGCGAAATGCAGCATCCTGGTGGCTCGATATAAATATTCTATTAACTGTTCTTATTCATTGCAGCCATCGTGTGTCATCATTTCTCTCACATAATAACAACAGAATTAAAACAAGCGCATCATAAATTTCTTGTCATTAATTCAAATTGATAGCAGACTTGTTTCTGTATCCATTAAAAAGAACTTTTTCAATTCTTGCAAATTAATATAAATTTTCTGTTATTATAATGTGCAATTTATTTGTTACAAACAAATTTGTAGATAATATCATAAATAAGTTTGTAAAGCGATTATATAAAAATTCGTCACCTAATGTTTTCTACAAGAATTTTACCATTTTCATTATCATGTGAGTTAAATAGAAACATTTTGTAGACAAATTGGTGTGTAATGAATTTTTTTTTCTAAAACAATTCAAAATAAGAATAATAAGTTTATCTTAAAAGCTTGACATAAAAACTGTAATATCATTAAAATCTTTAAGCAAAATAAACAACATAAGTATAGCTTATTTTGTTCTTTTTATGACATATCCTATTATAGCTGCTTGCGGAATTTTGTATTTAAGAAGGTAAAGAGATAAAAGTGCGCGTTACATGTATTTTAATCTTTAGGAATTAGCATAAATTAAATTTAAAAAGTGAGCGAGGGAAATACGAGAACAGATGTTCTTATAATTGTTCTTAGGACAATGTTTGTATTGTCTCAGACTTCTAGAGGATGAGAAAATATTGAGATAATACGTGGGACCATCAGGTAACGGCGTTTGATTCGAGCCAAAAACCTGCAACAATCAAAAACGCGTTTATACAACATATTAAAAACTTAATTGTAAAAATCGCTGGTGGCGCTGCGCCGTTTTCTGCCGCGCTTGATTTAGAAAAGACCAAAGCTTTGCAGCGGAAATTTTACTTTTGTATTTTCCATGTATATAGTATAGAAATGTAAATAGTATAGAAATTAAGAAACAAGTCGAGAGAAAGATCGATACTTTACTTTATATAGTAATAGAATGTATCGAATATATAGTAATAGATTGGAGGCAAATGGGGTAGTGCGAATTGCATGGTGTTGAATCCTGATAACACTACGTAGTCTTTCCTACTCAATCTCTACCTTCACCTCCAAGCAAGAATTAAGCCAGCGTATCCCGTGTAAGTAACCCCACCGGAGATTGGGTAACCAACTCCAGTGGAAGGTAAGGTTAGGGCAGACGAAGAAGAAAGAAATGATTCTTCGAAAAGAGAGTTAAGTTAGGAGTTAACGACCCTTTCTCATAAAAAAACAATGTTACGAAATCTTAGGAAGATGTAGCTGGACGAACCTTAAGAACTGGCAAACTACGAATGGACATGAGACTGGGATCGTGGAATACCCGAACATTATATAGAACTGGAGTACTCAGGACGCAGCTGGAAATTATAGACTGCTGGAACATAAGTTGGATATATTAGCGTTACAAAAATATACGTTGGATAGAACAGGACGTTGTGGTAAAAAAATCGCACAACTTGTATCATAATTGCAAGAATGAGGAATATGTGGAAGGAATTAAAAGCGTGTGATAGCGTTTGAAACTCTAAACGCAAGAATATACAGAATACAAATAAAAGAGAAAATCTTTAACTACTCACTCAACGGACGCGCACCAATTGAGGAGAAATCTGAAGATTAGGAAACTTTCTATGGTGAATTGGAGAGAGTGTATTAGCGATGCTGATACACTCTCGACACGATATGACATCAAAACAACCATAGGCAATATGAACGCTAAAGGGAGGGAGTAGACTTTCTGTTCAACAATAGAAGCACATAGTGCTTCTATCAGAACTCAAATGATAACGGGAAGCGACTGATCAATTTTGCGGTATCATTGAACATGACAATAGTAAAGGTGCCTTCAGACTTGACCAATATAAATCAACTTTGCACGCACTCACTAAATTGATCTATATTCATGGATAATTGTGCATGTATGTGCGTGTATGTGTGTAATATTTGACAATCTGGCATACATTGACCATATATAGTACATATGTGTATCTAGAGGCACCTTAAATACAATGTTTGAACACAAACGCATACACAAAGCTATTTAGAAATTACCAAATGGCAACATACAAAACCAGATTGACCATGTACTTATAAATACAAGACAATGTGATGGACTGCCAGAGCTAGCCAGAGGAGCAAATATAGATTCAGATCACTTTTTGGTAGTAACTATCCTGCGAACTCGACTATCAAATATAAAACAGGAAGATAACCCAAAAATAAAGAAATATAATATACAGAAGCTAACAAGATCAGGCAACACAAAAGAAATATAAGAACAAAATTAAATTATAGAATAATTAGAACGGAAAACCCAATGGAAAGTAGCGAGCAAATAAATATAGACTGAAAAAGGCTAAAAGAAAGAATTCA